ATTTTTTGGTGATCAATTCTTTTGGGGATCAGTAATTAGTAAAAGTGATGCTGGTCCACCACCAATACCTGGTAAAAGTATAACAGCAAAACAATTAGCTGCTGCGTTTACTTTTGTGCATGATCCAAAAGTACAATCTGCTGCTTTAAAAATAAGTTCTGCTTTTCACCACGAACATGGTTGTGAAAATGCTGTTCGATTATTTCATACAAATTTATCATTAAGTAAAATGCATAGTGATCTTGAATCATCATTTAGTGCATGTTTTCGATTAAAAGATTATAATTTACAAATATCACGTCCAGTTGCACAAGTACTTGTTGCTGCTGAAGCTATTGAAGAATCTCAATTAACATTACTTGCTACTCATGATTGGAATAAATCAATGTATGTTAATCGTTTAGAATCATATGCGAGTGGTTTTAGACGAGCAATATCAAGATTTGCAGATTCAGTTCGTCCTTCAAAACGATCAAGCAGTGTAAATTATTTAGAAAGAAATAGTTCGTGTAGTACACCACATATTACTAAACATAACCTTATAAATGTAGGACGTCCTTTCAAAGATAATTTACCATTATATGGTGATATCAAAGAACAACCACCTCAAGAAGAATATGATGAAAATTCGAAATTAGCAGAGAAAGTTAAACGAGGCGTTCATTATGACCTTCCGCCGACTATTGTTAAAAAATCTTCTGTGCATAATCGTTCGCGTAGTACTGCCGACGCAATTCCATCTTCTACCATTAATCATTTCCGTAAAAATAATTCTAAATCACGAACAACTGATAATATTTTACCTAATTCACCTTATCAAAACCAACGAACTCGAAATATACATAGTGCCAAAACAAATAAAAAAAAACAAGATTTAGTTTTACCAAAACAAAAGCCTATATTACAATTAAAAGATAAAAATAATAGTACATCAACAGAACAAAAAGCTGCGGATATATCCGGTTTATCAATTGATGTATGCAAAAAAATTTTGGCTGACTTTAAACAAATACAATCTGCTCGACGTCGTTCCATTGATAAATCAAAACATCAAATGGGAATTTCAATTCTACCAAATTCACATCGACGCCGTAGTCAATCATCAATAGTTCATTAAATATTTTTTATGTTTTATTTTTTCTCATAGTAATTATTTGATTTAGTTTCACATTCACTACAACACGTTTATATGTGTGAATTACAACTATTGATACGATTGACGATTTTTGTTTATATTTGAACAATTTTTTAAACATGAAATGCTCTAGAATTCCTGCACATACACATAACATTTAGTTTTCTAGATAATGTCTTCATTGAAGTATGAGAGAAATATGACATGAAAACGTCAGTTGTTTTTTAATGACATGTGTATAGAAAAAAAAATATTTTGATTAGGATAAAGAACAAGGAAACGGATGTAAATAGTCCCGCTTTATATAGCCTTCAATGTTCTATTGAAGTTCATTTCTTATTTACTTCCTAGATCGATGTCTGACAAACATTGACAAATTCTTTTTTTTGTTGTTGTTGAGAATAATACTAACTCAATTCATGAATTTTCATTATGATACAACTAACAGCATATACGCGATATAAAAGAAAAAAGAATCATCTCAATTACGAATCGATAAAAAAACCTTGTCTTGTATTAATTTCGTTCGAGAGATAAAATAAAAAAGACCTTTAATAAAAATCAATGATAGTCAATTTGTGAAGTAACATTTTAAAAATCATTTTCTCTATCACTCTTCAATCAATCATGTTATTTTACTTCAATTTTTATAATAGATGATATGAGAGTCAAAGTTTTATAAATGAACAAAATTTTATTTTCTTAATCTTGTTCTATTCAACAAAACGATTTACATTATACTGTAAAATATAGAATGGCACTTATTATTTTTTTTTTTAAAGATAATATAAAGTCATACTTTTTCCTCCTGCAGATATTTTCATTCACAACTGTTCGGCAATGTTCCTTCTAACTATAATTAAACTCAACAAAATGTATCGAGTAAATATATATATTGTGCGCGTTTTTTTTCTTATAATATTCAATTAAAAAAATTTGAGTCTCGCTGACATTGAACTGTACAATGTATATCTTGCAAAATGTTAACAAATTTTTACTGCATAACATAGGTACGAAATATAATTAAATTTATTCCGTAGAAATGGTTTCGGCCTATTTTCATTATTTCGTATGAATCCTAGTAAAACAAAAAAAAGAATTTGTAATTCAGTCATAAACAAAATCGAATTGTATTTTCTTTTTTCGTTAATGAATAAAACATATCAGGTTTTTTTTTTTATTTGTATACATGTTCTTATGTAAGAAGAAAAAAAAACGAAAAGAAAGAATTTATGAATATTTTATTTTCTTTTAAAGTTATGAATTAAGACTGTCACAACAACAAATGACAATCCAAGCATGTATGACTCCAGGAATCTTTAAAAAAAAGATAAAAACATTTAAATTAATAATTAATAAAATTTTGATAAAAATTACTTACAAATCCAAGTAGTGTAAGAAGAAGATTAAGTGACACAGTACCACTGCAAACTTTATCTCTTGCGATCCATACGGCAATAGGGGGAATGATTAATGCAACAAACATCAATAATAATTTTGCACAAGCGCCTGCCATAGTTCAGTCGTTATTGTCTTTAAATGACTAAGAGTTAACTTTGCTTGATGATTTTATTGAGCTGACATTTTTCATTCTTTGCGCCTATTTTTTTTGTCTTTTATATTTAGTCCATCGAAAGGCATGAGTAATAAGCTATAACAGTTAAACTATAGGAAGAAGAAAAAAACGCTCGCATGATAATCGATCAAGTTTTAGAGATAGGCTTTGCTGGTATTTTAGTAAAAAAAAATAAAAAGTCACGTCAAATTTACATCACAGAAAAAAAAGAAGGAGAAAAGACGACAAGAGAAAAAAAAAGTTTGTAATCTGTGTGGTCGTCTTCATTAAATCGACAAAAAGAAAAACCATTGACATCTGGATATCGGACTGAATCAATATTTAATTTATTTTACAATCGCTTATTTTCATTGATTTTTTGTTTCTTTTTTTTGGTAGGCTCTATCGAAAAATAATTCACAATTCACATATTGAATAAAATATGATATAATATAATTTTTCTCTTTTTTTTTATTATTATTATTTCCAGTCGTGCAGATACACACAAACATAGATAGACATATACATAGAACATTGAACAAAAACAAAAAAAAAAAAAGAAAATCATTCTGTTATTTTTTTGGTTGAAAAATGAAAACTAGTCGATAAAGCAACGTATAGAAAACAAAAAAAAACTAGTTCGAAAAAAAAAAAGAAAATAAATAAGAACGAACAATGTGTACAATATACGAAAATAAGAAAAGAAAAAGAAAACAAAAGGACGGAATAAAAAGACAAACAAAAAAAATTATTCGCACGCAAGTTTTCCATCAAAAGATGATAGAGCAATACCAAATGCTTGAACAGCACATAATGGATATTTGAAATCGCATGTGAAAACATCTTAAATTATATTTTAAAATAAAATTTACATATAATCAATAATGTTTGTTTTTGTTTTGGAAAATCCCTCGATAAAATACGTCAGATATATCTTAAGTTTCAATATTACATTAGGTATCTATTATTGTCGAATAAGTAGATCAAAAACAATCAATAATATTTTATTACCGAAACCGGAAGGAAGTATGTTCATGATATCTTCAAGATTTTATTCAAAAGAGTTAATTACAATGTCTAATCATCAGAATATCCAATAAGATGTTGATGGTAGTGATCAAGGGCGTTTTACCCTAAAGTTTCGCCTCGTTTGACTTTTAATAAAAATAGTTTGCAACTCGCTTCAAAGCTGAGCACTCAACGAAAAGGTGTTATTGATCTGCCCTATCCGTTCAATAGAACACATTATGATAGCAAGACAGAACAAGATAAAAAGAATTAACATGCACTCATTTGATAAATTACTTTTTTTTCACCATATATATGATGTATATACTGTCAAAACGTTTACTCATTGTTCTGCTCTTTTTTCTATAGATGATCGCATTGTGAACTGATTAATTCTTTATAATCTACCGAAGCCACATGAGGATCTCAAGATTGAGAAAAATGTATGAGAAAATGTCTCATAAAGGTAGTAAAAAATTTAAAATATCTTAGTAGTTTTATTGGGTAATGATGAATAATTTTTAATGATTGAAGATGTACACCTCCGCTTTCACAGCCTTCTAACAATCTATTATTTGATTGATAAAAAGAATTTTTTTAATTACTGATTAGATCGATTAGAAGCAGAACATAGAGTATTGTTGGAAAAGTAATTTAATATAATCATATTATTGGTTGAAATTATATCCGTTATTTTTCTTCTTTGATACTAATTATTATTGTCAAGTATTTATTTATATGAGAAAACATAAAAGTATGATTCAGATGAATTATTTTTGACTGAAATAGAAAAATTTTGATAGTTTTCAAACTCAAAGAATCAATAGATATTTGATATCTAACAATGAAAAGAAACTATTCGTGTCAAATCTGATGATCATGCATTCCATGTGATTAGTTCACCTTTAAGAATAAATATTAGATGTAATACAAGTATGCATTTTTATCTAGCCTTATGTTTCAATAAATATTCACAAACCTATAACATTTCAAGATCATAAAAATCCAAACGAAAATCAAAAAAACAAGTCAAAAAGAAAGTCTTCACATGATATTTTTCAAAATTTGAAAAAAGTTTGAATTTTTCTATTTTAATCAAAGGGAATACGTTTATCTAGTAGTTTTAAAATTTGTTCATACAAATAAAAACTTTCGAAAATAAAAACATTATATAAATAGGCTATAAAATGACTGACAAAACACAACATGAGATTTTCTTTTTATCTTGTATATAGCTCTATAGTCAATAGAATTTTCTTTACCTGGAATAAATGTTTATTTTTGTACTTTTTATACGATAAAAAGATGAACTTATATTTATAGCTTACTTTCTTAGACATAGTTACTTAGAAACAGCTTAGAGAATAATGAAAGTATTTACTTTTCTGAACTTACAAAAAAAAAAAGATTTAACCATGGGCTGAAGTATATCAAGGAAAATTTTGACATATTTACGTATTAGTAAAATCCTGCCTTTGTTTCTGATACACTTATCATCTTGGACGAAAATATATACCTTTTTTTTTTGTTTATTAATACAAAATTGCAAAACTTATGATGGTAAATAAGATTTTTCTCATGAAGAGATCCAGGATGGTTTTTTTCCTTAATACTCAAAATTGATAATACCTTTTCATAATCTAACATACATCTAATTAACAATGTTCAAACTATTTCAATAAGAATATGATTACGAGGTACTTGATATAATCATACAAAACTTTTTTTTCATTTCCGCTACGAACCCTGATGATGTCATTTGATCATTAATATTCATATTTTTCTTTTAATCATGCACAAATTATCTGTTTTTTTTTCTAATATTCTTTTGTTTTAGCATCATCGAAAATTTTTTAAATAAATCAAACTTACCATCACTAACACGACCGAATTGCATGCATACATAATCTTCTACAAAATAAGTGCAAAAAAAGAATTAATTTAAATAAAGATAAAAGAAAACTTTATAGACAAAATGAACCCATTGAGTGTAAAGTAAATATTAGAAAAAAAATCGAATTTTTGTAAAAGAAAAAAAAACAGTTTTTTTTTCAACATAAATCTCAATAAAAACAAAGTTAGTTACAAGCATCTGCTATAACTCAATAGATTTACTATTAAAACAAAAAAAAACTTGTTTTTCTTTTCCTGATCTTCTTATGTAAATTTTATTTTTGTTCATTGTTTTTTTACTTACGATCATCATCATGTACGATTTGAAAATTTTT